TATATATAGATAGATAGATAGATAGATAGATAGATAGATAGAGTGAGGGGGGGTGGAGGAGGAGGAGGAGAGGAGTGGATGGAACGATGAAATAACAAGGAGATCTTGGAATAATTGAAAAAAATTTTATTCTATCCTTTTTTAGCTTTTCAAAGCGGCTTTCAATGCGATAAATTCAATGTCGGCCTGCGCTTTCACCTACGCAGCTAATAATCAATGGTGACAATTTCGATTACTCGCTGCTCTAATCTCGATAATTTCGCTGCTTACATGTAAGTGATTAATTAAATGTAAGACGCTTTCCGAATTACGTGGTCGGTAATGCACGAGGTGTTGGTAAAGTTGACATTCGTACTGATTGCTGGCAAGTTCGCGCGCTTGTAGTTTAATGGAGGAATGAGCGGGCAGATCGCGAGTTCCGAAAAAAAATAATAAGAAGTGAAAGTGGTGGGCGTCGATTAATTACGTCAAAGTTAAATCGTCCAAGCTGGTGGCCGTCTTTGCGGCCTTGTCCACGTCCTTACGGTCCGACGCGTCAGCGTTCAGAAAAAAAGTCGTCGATCACCGTCGGCTCGTTCTTGCGCAAAGTCGACACCCTCCCCACCCGCGCCCAATCATTCCTTCGATATTTAATCGATACTCGATGCCTGGAGTTTCGAAGCCTCTTCAGTAGTCGGTAACTTTACAACTTTACAGCTGATTAAGGGATGTCGGTCGATGTTTCGTCAACATTTTTACTTTCGACTACTTCTTGCTCGGCAGCACTTGGTAAGAGTTTGGGTTGCGGGACGAAATCGTTACTGCCGGCCTGAAAATTCATGATAATTATGACATTGACGATATATTGCCTTTCATATAATTCAAAATCACTTTGATAATATTTATTTGTAATAAATATTTGTGATAAAAAGGAAGATTTTACTTTCTTACCCCTATCGTAATAATAAAGCTTAAATACCCAGATAAACAACACTGCATCATACAGTTATACATTATCTCTTACAGTATTATCTTTACCAAATATTTAGTATGCATTTGTTTGAAATTTCGTGTGCTAAGCTATCGCGGGTATAAATAATCAAGGAATATATTCTATAAACAATTTTCCCCGTACATGTAAAGATAAAAATTTGTTTTATACCAATCAGATTTCGATATTTATCTAATGATTTATGCCATTAACTTTGCCGTATGTAATAAATTTATAATCTTTCAAATTGAAATTATCTCATTCCATTTTATATGCAGTGTCC